TATTATTACAAACTTGTTTATTAATTATCAAATTAGCTTACAAACTTGAACTTGAGTTGGAAAAAAGTGATAAAACTATTAAAAAAAAGAAAAGATATATAAAATTTATGTCAATTTCTACAGAAATTGTATTTACTTAAAAAGAGATAATAATATAAGAAAGTTATAAGAGAATAAAGATTAAAAGAAAAAAAAGTATAAAAGAATAATAAAGAAATAGTAAAAGATGTTTAAAAGACTCATTTTCTGTACTTGTATAAAGTTTTTTGGAGCTAAGGTAATACTATTAGTAATAATAATAACAAAAACTCTTTTACTTTGTTTTTTTCATGTATGAGAAATATTTATTAATAATCAAAAATTCAAATAACAAAAATTAAAAATAATTTTAATAATTCTAATATAATAATTTGTTCAGTATAATATAATATAAAGTTCAAAAATCAATAATAGTAATTTACTTAATGCAATATAATATAAAGCTATTAATAATTTATTAGATATAATATAATATAAGATTATTTATATATAAGATTTGAAGTGTATAAAAAAATATAAGAGATAAGAGATATTTGGAAAAAAAATTTTATTAAAAGAGATTTTTATTTTCAGTTACAATATATTGAGTTAGGGTTCAGATAATATCTCTATTTATATATTTTTCGAAAATACAATTTCAAATAATAATAACTATCTAAAAAATAAAATCACTAATTAAAAAGAATAAGATAAAGATAAAATAAAAGGTAAAAAGTAAAACAAAAGATAAAATAAAAAATAAAAGATAAAATAAAAGATAAAAAGTAAAATAAAAGATAAAATAAAAGATAAAAGATAAAATAAAATATAAGATAAAAGGTAAAAACTAAAATAATTTGAGAGATCTTTGTTATTATATAAATATTTTTGAATATTTTATATTTTTTAACTATTTTGAAATTAACAATTTTTATATTACTACTATAATAATATAATCAAAATAAATAATAATAAAATATTTTCAAATTTATATAATTTTTTGAATATTTATTATAATATTAATTATTTTATATTAATTTGTAATTTTATAAATTTATTTAGAAATTTTTTGAATATTTATTTGAATTTAAACTAGATTTTAAATTTAATTTAAGTTTGATTTGTAGTTTAATTTAAATTTAAATAAATCTTATTAATTCAAAAAATTAGTAAAACAATATTTATAAAAATAATTATTTTTTATAATAATATAATATTCAGTTTTTAATAATATTTTATAAATATTATTAAATTAATAAAATCAAATTATAATAATACAAAAATTTTATTTTAGTAAAAAATTATTATTAAATATTATGAATTAAATTAATATATAATATTATAAAAAGTTATTATAAATAAAAATATATTTCAAAACTATTTTATTTATAATTTTATCTAATAAATTTTGTTTGTCTAATAAACGAAATTTATTTTAATAATAAATAAAAATCAAACTAAAATTATTAAAGTAATTTAAATTAAAACAAATATTCTTAACTAGTTTTTATATTTATTAATATAAAAATATTATAAAATTGAAACTATAAATACAATGTTTTGTTTTTCAAAAAGATTTAGAGATCTATTTTTAATTATAAATTAGATTAATATCAAATCTCAAAAGTATTTTTTATTAATTTTATTATCAGATATTATAAATTGGATTTGAATATTATAAAATAGATTAATATTAGATATTGAATCAAAAAACATAATTTTGTTTCTAGTAAAAGTATAATTTGTATAATATAACTAATAACCTCTAGTAGGGATATAAATAAAAATATAATATATATATATATATTATATTTCTATATTCATAATAAAATCCTGTTATAATTAAATTTATAAAAAAAATTACTATTGAACCTGATAGTGTAAATGTTGACTGTCATTATTTTTATTTATCAATTTATGTTTACTCATATCTTGTATTCCTTTTAGCAATTTCCATTGCTATTGCATAAAATCAGTTTACCAAAATCTACAACAAGCACTGTAATAACATAAAGGATAACAATAAGAACACAAAAATATCAAGTTTCAAAAGTTTCTTTAGAAGTTAATAAATACTTTGATATTATTGATTATCTAAATCACAGTTGAAAAAATATATTTTCGATCTCAACAAAATAAGCTGCTATATGCGTATCTGAAGAAACATTTACATTCAAGCTATATTTATTCAAACTAATATGTTTTGAAGAAACAATACTTGATATTACAATAATTTTAATTTAACTTATTATTCAACTAATTATTATTTAACATAAAAAACTTACTATTAAAAGATGCTTATGCTAACTCTTTTAATAGGTTATTTTCTGTGATGCTATCAATACCAGCGCCATATACTGTCCGTTCCCTGCTTGTCTTTCCACGATTCACAAACGATTTCAAACGATCGATAAACTTTTTCGGTGTTGCAGAAGCCAGCACAAGGGTAAATGCACTTCTCAGAATCGAATCTATCGCAATTGTAATCGTTAGATACTGATGCGCGGTTTTTGTTAATAGACAAGTAACATAGAGCGATAGGTAAAGCAGAGAAAGCGTGCATAGTGTCGTGAAGTACCAAGTTCCAATGGCGGCATTTATTGGATTGATATTATCTGTTGGATTGATATTATTTGTTGGGTTGATATTATTTCCGCCTATTTTTCGTTCTTTCATTTGCGGATTCGTGTGAAGATTCATCAACGGTCGGAATGTATAGATGAAAGATGACATAGTAGTCAACATTCCAAAAATCATTTGCGTCACGAAAATCTCGTAACTTATTATTGGACTAATTATTATCTCCTCGTATATGCAAGACATTGTTATGATATTTAAGATGTTGAAAATAACTAGTCCTGCTATTGTCATTTTAAATGTCAAAGTCTTCCATTTCATCTTTTGATAGAATTTACGACCCATACCCACAATACAAAGTACTAAAATTGTTGTGTAGACCGTCGTTATAGCTGCGACTAATATCCAGTACCAAACAAATTGCATTTGAGGGTTAAAACCATACACAAGTTGGGTAATTATCAGTATACAAATAAGACAATTCGCAACGATGCTAAAAATGAAAGGAATTAATTATCACGATGTATGTGTTCTAATTATCAGAGAACGAGAATAAATACCGCATACAAACCATGATAGTCGAAGCTTCGTGAATTTTTTCAGACATTGGTATGCCAAAATAAATAAAGAATTAAAGCAGACGAGGATAGCCAGTATCACGAAAACTAGTTCAGAAATGTACATTTGAATACGTGAATATGAGTGGGGTGTGTATAGAGAAATGGTGAGTGACAAAGGACGACGTATGTTGAAAGAGTGTGAAAGAGTAAAAAAAAAGAAAATAAAGAATGAGAATTGCCGTAACTTCTGTTTCGTGTTGATCTCTTTCTTTAAATTATTATTTGTTATACATGTACCTAAAATGCATGTCATCATTTGTCTTTAGAACTATTTCTTTGCATAACTGTTTACTAATTTATACTTGCATATATACGTATATATATATATGTCGATATGAAATTACGTAAAAAGAGATAATTGGTTTAGTGTATTATTATCAAGTCAAAATGCACTACTTGATAAGGAAAAAATCACTAATAAAAATTCCTCAATTCATTCATTGGATAGCGATTAATAACAATCTCTCATTGAAAGGCTTGGTATACTAGTATATACATGTAATTTTTTTTGGTGAACCTCTAGTAGAATTCCGAATTCCCTAGTGGATTTCTCCTAAATTCAATGAATTTATTAGGTTCACCAAACCCAAACCTTTTTCTACCTATCGATTAATAAAAATCCCATTTCTCAATCCATTGGATGTCTGTCTACAGAAAGCTAATTCACTTCGTCATTATAACTTGCTTAACGCCAAACTCAAAATCCTTGAATAAAATTAAAATAATGTTCTTACAGGACTGATTATAAAGATTTATATGATACGTGTTGATTTCGCGTCCAATAAACATAAAATGCTAAAGTATTGAAATTCAAAAAGGATAAAACTGGTTTTATAACGATAGCCAATATCGATAAGGCTAGCGCTAATAAAACTAACTGATTTTGTAATTAGTCCAATTTGATCTCCAATTATGGTTTCGGTACATATCGTTATCGAAACTGATGATCTAGTACATGTACGATAGATGCACATGCACGTATTACATGTTCAGTACATTGTTTTTTGATTAGGAAAACTAATTCACCTATTGATTTGTTCGTTAACATCACAATCACGTGCGCTCACACCACTAATAAACATCAGTTCGTATTTCTTTTTTGGCAAATAAAATGTCTCGTGCGATCGTTTTGTTTTATCATGATGTCGTCCTTTACAAAGATGTAAGTGAATATTTCTTTTTCTTCGCGATTTTTGCTTGAAATTTATTTTACTATAATTTTAGGATTTCGAGCTATTAAACGAACATCAATGGCTCAACGATACTTGCATCGAATTTTACATGGAGTAATTAAACATTTTTATTTTCATTTGTATGACTTATAAAGATAATCCAATTACCTCCATTCTACAAAGATATCTAGAAAAGACAAAATTAATACCGCAAAAGAATGAGGAGGAGGATCGATTAACAATATTTTTGTTGAGACCTGGTCTTACGTTCTTGATATCAAATATTCAAGGTTTAGATTCTTGTTTTTCTTTTATTTTTTGTCAAATCTCATCTATGTTTTATATTTGAAACACAAAGACGCACAGTTCTTGGCATCTGCTCTTCCTCGAGAAATCTATACTGCTGAAATTATATTTATGCCGATAAAGTAATTCATTTACAAGGGCTAATAAGTGTAGTGCCCCCGCATGAGCCAGCTCGCAAGTTCGGCACTGAGTCAAAAATTTTTATTTACAGTCAAACTCCTCTACATTCACACCCGTTTATAGTCACATCCCTCTATAGTCTCCCTATTTTGCTTTCCATATATATATATATATAAACAGTAAAAAAATCCCCCCTCTATAGTCACCGAATTTTGCTTTCCCGAGGGTGGTGACTATAGAGGAGTTTGACTGTATATTGGATCGCGAGCCAATATAAATAAAAATTTTTAAAGTACTTTTGACTCAGTGCCGAGCTTGCGAGCCGGCTCATGCGGAACTTTAAAATAAGTGTATCCAACATTCATTATTAATTCTCTGATTTTTCCCGGTTTCCAGCAATAACCCAAATCCCACTCGTGCAGGTGGTGGAACCCATTGGTCATTAGTTGTCTATCTGAGGGCACAACAGCGGTTCTTGCATTACGATAGTGTACAAGGATTTAATATTGCTGTTGCTCGTGCAGCTGTAGAAAGAGTCGCAGATTTACTTGACGTTAAAGGTAAAATTGTTGGGAACATTCTTTGTAATACTCACTCACCAAAAATATTTATACGAAATAAAGAAATTAGCTTCTTACCAATGCTCACGCCACAGCAGGATAATGGTTTGTTGTCTTTTGTGGTTGATTTGTTGTGATATCTTTTACAATTCATATTTTGTTTTTTGTCAATAGGAGCAGGTATATATTCATTTCACGTTTATTCGACCGTAGAGATTCCTTGATTCTGATACGTATGCAAATAAAAATGTTCCACACAGATTGCGGCGTATTCGTGATTTCAATAATCGATTATTTGGTGAATCGAATTCTCACAAACTCAACAAATTTTGACACGGATCGTGAGATGCAAATATCATCAACGAATGAAATCACTTCACCCGGAGAAATGCGACTACGACTCCGACAACTTGTTGAACAGTTACGCGGGGATAGTCAGTCTCTAAGATGATCAAAAAAAGATATTTCATTCAAGCATGCAGACTTGCATCAATGGTTTCATATACTGTAGAATTATATAAACATTGTGTTACGTAATCAATTTATCCCTCTCTACTGTCTCTACTAACATGCGTATATTTATTATTACTGTCTTTATACGTTGCTTGTGGTAATGTAAATCTTATAAACAAAACTTAATTTGTGTTAGCGAGGTTAATTGACGACGAAATGGGTATAAATAAATATAAAAATTAAAATTAAAAAAAAAAAACGATTAAAAAACGAAGTAGATAGAAATGTGCGAAAACGAATTTTGTATATCTTTTTTACTAATTGAAAATAATTAAAAAGGTACGAGTACGAAATAAGAAACTAAAACGCATATAAAATATAAAATACATATTAATATTAACATCCATTTGCATTAGTAAGTAATTAATTGGTTAATTAGCATAATAAAAGCTGAACATTCATTCCACGTTTCGGCATCTCTTCTTCCAATTTATCATTAAGCTTTTGTTCGTCATCTTGCCCATAAACTATTTCCATCTCGATAACTTCATTTTTCTGATCAGCTACCTCCTCATCCCATAAGCTTTCATCATCCTGAGTGGTTGTTGATGTAGTGCTACTACTACCGCAACTATTATTCGCGTTATTCGTCATGTCATTCAATTCCAAAATTGTTTGCGTCTCAGCATCACAGGTTTTTTTTTGTTGCGGATTCTCTTTTAGAGTATTCGTTTCTTCAATTGAAGATGTTGTTGGTGATGTTGCTGAACTTGAAACACTTGGAGTTTTATTGTTGATGTTGCTGTTGGGTGTCGTACTGATCGAAAGTTGCATCGAATTTCTTCTTTGTGAATCATTACCAGCAGGAGTTATCGTGGAAGGCGTGGAAACTGAACTTCGTTTTCTACGATACTCATTATCGCATGATTCACTTACTGCTGGTGTGGATTTAGAGGGTGGTATAATATCATATCGATCGAATTTAGAACGTTTTACTACACGACGTTCTTCAGCTGCATCATCATTTGATGAATCACCACCACCAGTGTTATTATTATTATTATTATTATTCCTTCGTTGTTCGCGCGCTCGGGATTCGGCGACTAATCCTTGTAAATATTCAATATATTCAATTGCACTCTGCAAAATACTTAACTTATGCAAATGATCTTGATCTGCACAAATTGGTATTAATTCTTTAAGCTGCATGATCTTGTCGTTAATACGTTCACGTCGCCTTCTTTCTATCGCTGAATGTGAGACTTTTCGTGCTAATTCACGTTCGTCAGCTGTGGTGCGTGCTTTATCGTTATTCGCAGAATTACGATTCTGGTGCTGTTGCTGCTGCTGCTGCTGCTGTGACATCACCGGGTGGATAATTGAAGTGTGATGTTGCATCAATGGCCTTTGACCATTTGATCCTGAATTGTTTAATCCCCCGTTAGTTGATGATGCAGAATCAGACGGTATCTTGGTAACAGCAAATACTGAAGTCGTCGGAAGATGTGTTTGCTTAGGAAGAATTCTAATAGCATTGCTATGATGATGATGATGATTATTACCGCTCCTACTATTATTATGACTATTGATTGGAAGTGCTGATGACTGTGATGTATTATGATTCGTTGGAGATGGAGGTGAAAGCGATTGTTGTGGTGACTGTTGATTGAGATGATGATTAAGATGATGTTGATGGGGCTGACGATGCTGATGATGTGGAATATGATGCATAAGAATTGGAGGTGGTAATTGGAATGATTGCCCAGAATAATCACCCGAGAATGGTGAGTGGGGAGGGGTTCCGATCGATAAATTACCATTGTTAGGTTGAATTTGTGTGTTTGGATTTGCTCGGGGCGAAGTTACTGGTGAAATTGGAACATCATTATTATTATTATTATTGCTGTTGTTACCATTGACAACAGAAGCGTTCGTTGATATTGTTGTGGCGTTGGTTGTTGTAATTGGCCTTTGTTGCAATGACATTGGCATTGGTGGTGGTGCTGGCATTATTGACCTAAACATTGGCATATTGTTATGTTGTGGTTGTTGTTGTTGCTGAACATTTGACTTTTGTTGTTGTTGATGCATCTTGTTAGGTTTCTATGGACGTTCAAAATGCTGGTATTAATAATTGGTATAATAAATAGACGTGAACGCGGTGAGCGAATGAGTAAATGGGGAATTCGGTTGTGGTCTTATTATTGGTGATACACGTAAACAAGGAAGAAAAAAAGAGGTTTTTTTTCCGGTCAAATGTTTGACAAAACTTTTTTATTAACAAAAGAAGGTCGTTACAAATTAAAAATAATTGGGTTGCGATGATTTCGGTGGAGGATGAAAAGGTAGTGCTCATATATTGTTTTGGCGTTTATTACCCTTGTTAATCGAGTATAATTTCCCTAAATTGACACCAATGCACATACATCAATACACATACAGATACACACACCTATTGAGAGGTTATTGTGACAATGGTAAAGTTTATAATTTTTGTGTTTCCCAGCAGCAATTTCGGTGATAGGAAGCGAGATATATATATGTAATATATATTTTATATATTACATATGTGTATATACACTATTAAATTATAAATTACCAGCTGCCAATATTTTCTTTAAATAAAGAATATAATGTGACAAGCGGAAAGAATAAAAATATTAGGCGTGAAAATCAGCGGATGAAATAAAAATAATGGTAGTTAGTAACCGTAGCAGTCGGCGCGAGTGCCAATAAGCAGAGAATTCTTTCAGCGTGATATGCATTTTAACAGAAGTTCTGTAGATGAAATGTGAAGGGTGGTGGTGCACAAACTTTATTCATTCTAAAAGTGGACGCTGGAGAGAATGGCGTTTTTTCTCAAAGGAAATATATAAGCTCTTTTTTTATTTAATTACCGAGTCAATAAATATATTATCTATTGTATCGGTAGTTTAAGATTTTAATAGATCGAGAACTGACTGATACTGATAACCCGTTTTTTTTGTTTTTGTGACCAATTGAGGTAAAATTATTGGGTGCGTGCACAATTCCCTAGTAATTGATTGGATGTAGTTCTCTGGATTTCAGTTTTGAATGTATTGTTATTATATTTGGATATCTTTAAATAAAAAAAAAAATACGACAAAATTTTTGTGAAACTTTGATTATAATGAAGGCTACAGATCGTAATGTAACTTGGTTGACACCCAAATTGATGAAGGTGTTACTCGAGCATGACTCAGACAGTGAGTTTTTTTTTTTTGATGTGTAAAACAAACAAAACAGCTAATAATAATGAGACTCATGTAAGCACAGGTTACGAAGGAGAGACACCACGTGCTATTGCGATTGGTTGGATCAACTTCTGCCGGGTTTAGGAATGATCGTTTATTAAGCGCGAGAGAAAAACGAAACTTTTTTCTACATTCCAACGCCAATTTGGAAATGGTGTGGCTAGCATGTGAGGAGATAAAATATTCCCATTGGGTGAAGATAAAAATTTTGATCTTTATGATTATTTTGATAATTGTAATTGTGATTGATTTAGATCCCATACTTCTCACCGTTACCATTACGAAAGAGTTTAGTGTTACGATGACGGTTTTGTTGGCATTTCTGAGGTTAGTATTAATAATGAATTGACTTTTGGAACTCGTTTTTTTTTTATGATACATTATGTAATTAGTACACATAAATGTCTTTCGTGTGAAATAAACCGTCAACACAAGTTGACGGAATTGATCGATTTACTTGATGCAAGTTTGTGTACGTTCTCCAAACTTTTTTTTTCAACTGATTCAATTTAATGATCGAATTAATTGGCAGACAACAATGAATTTTTCTTGGTCGATCCCTTGCGATGGTTTTGATTGTTGACAAAACACACGAAAAAGGTTTTTTTTTAAGAACATGCGTGAGACAAGTTTCTGATTGCGCACATGTTAATAATTCCATTGAATTTTGCCTTATCCTTATGTGTGTATGTTTATTATTTAGAAACTTACCAAAAACTAACTAACGCTAATGTGTGTTGTGCCACTCATCGTCATTCTTCTCCCCCCACAAACGCAAAAATGGTCAGTCGTGTTTGACTTCCGCTTTTTGATTCGCTAATACCATTTTTATGTTTGAACGTGATGATCACACAAACGTAGACTTTTTAATATTTGTGTGCCCCCCCCCAATCAATTTTTTTTGACACTATGTGGTGATTAATCGATATTTGCCTACGAGTTTTAAACATCGGATATCCACAAAGTTATAATTAATTATTAAAATATTAGGTTTATTTCATGGCTCGGAACGGGATCTGAAGCATCTTTGTTATAAAGCAATCATTTCCTCTAACTTGAAACTTTTCATTTTTATCTAATATGGTGCCGAAACTCTTAATGTTTCATGTTATTTATAAATTCTATCAACTAAATTTAACCGGTAATATATTTAACCGGTAATATTATAGAAAAGGATTTACTTCCTAGTTAAGAAGTTGATAAAATTTATCGTTATAGCATAAATTTAGAGCTTGATATCACGCGAAACTTGAAACTTGTTTAGAAAAGAAAATATTTCTAATGTAGTAAGAGATGTGCTTACTTGTTTAATCTTCAAAGCTCCAACTAAGGAAGCGCTTGAAAGAGATTTTCTTCAACGAGAGAATGTTTAAAGGAAATAAATTTTGGATCAGTTAATTGAATACGCACAAAGCTTCATATTTACTAATAGACCCTTAATTATAAACACTAATGTATATTTAGCGCACCCAGGGGGTTAGTAAAAGAAAAAATGCAATCCAACAAGATCGTTTTACTGATTACCAAAAACATCCCATTTGTGGAGAAAGAGGTGCAGTATCACCAATAAATATAAATATCATTACACGTCTCAACGTTGGATTTCTGCATGATTATGAAAATATCAGCTAATACACGTGACTCTGACCAGAATTATATACATGAACTAGAGAGATTCTGCAATATCTGCATTTTGCAGAAAATCATTATCCCTGAAAGCGGTGCATGTCTGAAAAATAGTGCGAGCATCATGTTACATGTATTGTAAACTTGACAACGCTGTTCTTCGTCAGCTTGACTTCATCTTCGTCGTCCTTTCTCAAAAAATAGGCTAACAACCAGAATATAACGACAATCTATTGACTTTATAATTATTAAATATGATAAAGTTTCCAAACCTGTTTTTTATGCCCGTGAAATTCTTTGTTCGATTTAAAGTTCTATGCAGCTTGTTTGTTTCATCACACGACTTTCTATACAAGGACTTTTGTATTACTTTTTTGTAATTAAAATGTGTACACTCAAACTGCTGCAAATAAAGTGTTATTTCCGATTTCAATTTAATTAATCATGAACTTTTGCCTCCGCGCGTCATAAAACAAATAAATTTTTTCGATCCTTTATTTGTCTATCTTCTATTTTGTTTTTCGTCAATTCTCATATAATTATGCCAACCGTGAAGTAAAATTTTAATCTCATCTTTTCAAATTTAGGAAGAAAAACGTTATTTCTGTCCGATGCAGCACCTGTTTTGCTAATTTCTGATTAATTGTTGATAGAATTATGTGATTCTCGCCAATTTTTTACTGTGTAATTTTTCTGTCGATAATAAAATTCATTTACTGTTGATACCTAAATCAAGGATGATCCATTACTCTACTGTAATATGTCTGTTTTTTACACATATAAACAGCAGTAACCAATATGACCTGAATCATTTGAAGTACCCTAGCCACGGCGAAAAAAAGTGTCAGATCACGTGTCGTTGGTGGCACAACCAATAAAATACGTAAATTTTTGATTAGTCCGGCAAAACAAATCCGACACAAGAAAATAAAAAGCAAAAAATGGGGATTGGTTAAAGTAAAGAAGTTTTCACGTGATACAGAGCACATAAATGTCACCCATCCAACATGTTATTCATTCAACATGTTATAGGAAAATCTGATTCCTGATAATTAATACTAATAATGATTATTATCAGATAGAAAATATTTATTTTAACTTTGTTTTTATTAAAAGAAACCAGCAAAAAGTAAAAAAAATAGACTTAATATGTTAATATATTATTTTTGATTAATATTAACACATATTCCAATATTAATATTAACTAAAATTCCAATTTTAATACAATCAAACCTCTCTATAGTCACCATTATCAGGAAAGCAAAATTTGGTAACTATAGAGAGAATATGTCTATAGCGAGATTTTATAACTATGTTTATATATAAATAAAAAAGCAAAATAGAGTAACTATAAAGAAATGTGACTATAAACAAGTGTGATTATAAAGGAATTTGACTATATTTTTGATTATTATATTACATATTAATTATTATGTTTCTTGATTGTTTTTAATATTTATATTAATTTTTATATTACTAGAGATATTTTGTGATTTATATAGTTTATCTCTTAAACTATTTTAAAATATTTTTGTTTATATTTATATTTATAATTTTAATTTTCTTATTTTAAAGATCAAAATTTTTATAACTAATTATTTTTATGAATTTTTATATGTAATAAATTGTTTAAAAGATTATTTTTAGTTTATATATCTTTTTTATTATAATAAAACAATTTAAGAAATAACAATTTAAGTAAAATTACTAATTATTTTTATAAATTTATTATTATTAAAAATAATAAATTTAATTTATAATAATATAATTTATAATTTTAATTAATAACTTTATAAAAAATATAATTTTAATTTTATTAAAAATGACTTA